GCCAGTCGTGTGTCTACTATTTCTGTCCTGTCCTTGCCTTCGCTCCCTCCAACACCTCCAGCTCCCCACTGGAATGCGTGGGAACTGGATGGGCAAGCAGGAGGACCTCTGGCCAAATATACCCACTTTTAGAGGAGGAAACTGAGGGCTATAGAGGACCAGTAATGGAGCCGATGGAACTCTAATTGTTTTTCTGTCTTGCTCCAATACGTAACAAGTTCTAGCACAAGGACCTTCAGTCATCCTCACTAATTTTCTGAGGGTCTGCCTGCTCAGGAGAGGTGGCAAAGTCCTTGAACCACAGGCTCCAGGTATGCAGAAGGAAAAGGGGACCCTGGGTAGGATCTTAGGAGGTAAGACAAAGGGATGTGGTAGCTTCTTGGACCTTGTCCCCCATTCCCCCCTCACCTCACTGACCCTATTCCTGAAGAAGGTAGCTCTGCCATGGTAACCCTGAAGACAGAGACAGAAAGAGAGAGGGAGAGAGGGCTCCTCCATGGGGGAAGGCGTACTCCATGAACAGTAACTTTAATGATAGTAAACATAACAGATATCATTAAACATCAACTCTACCAGGCGCGTCCTTTGCATGAAAGTATTATTTCCTGCTGATAATTTCATTCTCATTTTATAACTGACAAAATGAAATCTGAGAGATTTAATAGCTTGGGCAGGTCATGGTAGGGGAGAGAAGGTGGCTTGAGATGAAGCCGGGAACTCTGGTTTCCAGGTTAGGGCTTGTGGAGTCAAGGTAGAAGGGCTGGCCTGTAGACAAAGAGCCGGGGATGGGGGAGTAAAGCTGAGAGCTACATGGTGTGAAGATAACAGGCTGATCATGGGTTCCATCAAGTGCTAAACTTGCTGTGTAACCTAGGGCAAGTTATTGACCTCTCTGAGTGGTTGGATGTTCCCTAATATCACCTCTCATTCTTTTATTATAGGGCTCTGTGATTTGGGAAGTGGCAGGTCACTTCTGGGAAAGATATAAAAGGCACATTTTCTCTCTTTGGGGCCACCTGCTTGAATTCAGTCCTAGGGTCACTGTGCGTCCAGTATAGCTAGTCACAGGAGACTGTGCTCAGCGGGAGGTCGGGCTCGGAGCCAGAAAGCAACAGCACAGGCTTCCTGCCTGGGCTCCATCAACAGATCTATCACCTGGCCTCTCGTTGCCTTAGAGCCAGAAACATTCCCAGGCCTGCTGTGAGAGAACCAGCACCTGTGAACCCCACAGGGCCTCGGGGACAACCAGGTGCCAGGCATAGATCTGTCTGTTGGGTCATTAGGTGAGGAGAGAATGGCAGGCTGGCAACAAGAGACTCCCTTCCTCTGGAACGCCCGGCTAGGGACAAACCAGCCGAGATATCTTGGTGCCTTGTAACCCAAGGTTCTGGGCTGGGTTTGAGATGGAGAAAGAAACGACCAGCAAGAGTCACAGGTCTGTTGAGCCTGTACAGGTGCTATGCTCCCAAGCTCTGAGGCCACGGACGAGCGGCTGACTTAAAGCCTTTCGTTGCTTAGCTGAAGAGTGGGGGTAATAAGGTCAGCTTTGGAGGACTGGCAGAACTTAACAAGCGAATACAAATGAAGTGTCCGGATAGAGCCTGCCAGAGCGTACATAATAAAGGGAGGCTGCCATTACTATTGTGGCTACTGTGGCAATAAAAATAGCAGGATGGAGTTCAGTGGTAGAGCGCTTGCCTGGCATGCAGAAGGTCCCCCAGTACTGCAAAACAAACAAATAGATAGAACTAAACAAGTAATAACAGGTAAAGATGCACCAGAGGGCCTGGGAGTCAGATTTTGTACCCCCTCTGTATGACTTCTGTCCCCCCCCCTGCCCCGCCTTCTCTGTAGGAGGAGGTGATGGCGCCAGCTGATCCCCAGGCCCCTTCCTCCTCTGACAGCTTTAGGCTATGAATAGAGGGGGCTGGGGCCTGGAGGAGTTTGATGACTCAACGGCTAGGGAGGGCGAGGTTTCCCAAGGAAAGAGTTTCCATTTGTGTCTGGTGAACTTGGGGAGCAGGGAAGGAAGGGTTCCCTAGCTGCGAGGCCAGGCATGAGGGGGTGGGAGTGGAGAATGTGACTAACCAGGTGAATGACTAAGTTGGACCCTGCTGACCTTCAACCAATCAGGGCTGCTCGTGAGCGTCCTCCAAGTTGGCATCACTGGGCGCTTGGTAGCTCTGCCAGGCTGGGCCTGGGCTTCATAGCATATGGTGGCAAAGGAAGCAGCCAAGAGGCCAGCAGGGACACAGCCCTGGGTGTGGAGTCAGAAGTGACAGCTTCTCCTTCTCAATCCTCTGCCCATCAGCTTGGTGGCTCTGGGCACGAGATTCCTTTCTCTTCCCTGACCTGTACCCACAGCTCGGAGTAACAGAGCTAAAAATCCCACACTGAGTTGTGAGAGCTGAGATCCAACCAAGCGATAACACCATTGGGGCCAATAGATGCTGGCTCTGTCATTCATCCAGTCTTAGCCAGTGGGATTGGCTACAGGATGTTCCCAAGGAGGCAGATGGGTCAGGACCAGCTAACAACATCCTCACAGAGAGTCCCTTCCAGACATCTCACCACTATCCCAAGGACAGCTTCCAGCTAGGTGGCGGAACCAAAGTGAGAGGTGACAAAAAACAAGCCAGGGATGGTTGGGTAGTGTAGGGAGTAGGCACTGCCAGTCTAGGATGGTGTCTTTCTTCTTGACCAGCACTGTATAAATACCAGCAGAAGGGTGTTAGGCTGCTAGCCCCAGTTTTGAGCATCTCTCTAAGTAAGAACCATGGACAATTTGGAAAGCAACAGCATGGTTGGAGGGGAAGGGTACCTCCTGTCATTTCTGCACACATTAAACCTGTCGATAGCATTCTCCAGTGCTCATGGCTCTTGGGCACCTTGCTAGCCCTTAAAGTCAGAGAGATGTGCTTTGCCTACGTGGACATTAACAAGGCAGTGTGGTGAAAAAAGGCAAAACAAAACACACCCCTTAGGATGTAAATAAGCATTTAAAAGAGCCCATACTGGGTCACCTAGGTCATTTTACCAATAAGTCCTGCAGCAGTCTTCAAGGGCAGTGGCCCAGTGAGGCTTCCAGGGTATGTGGGTGTGGTGGTGGGGGGGGGGCAGGGGTTGGTTGAACTGGACCTACAGGGCTAGATTAGATAGCAAAGGGAAAGCAGAAGAAAAAGTGTTACTGGCTAGAAACATTAAGTACCCTCTGAGGGTTAATGTGGAGGCCATAGAGAGAAACCATCCAAATAAGAATTAAGAAATAAAGTCAGGCATGGAGGTGGAGGTGGGGCAAGGAGCATGGGCAGTGGGTATCTGTGTGGGCTTTGCTGAAGCAGGCTGGGACAGCTGAGCTTTGGGAGTTTTGTGTTTGTTTTCCCCTGGAAGCATTGTCCCCGGGACGCCATTTGCTGTGGGTATGAGGCTGGAAGCAAGGAGGTCAGCAGGGAGGTTAAGCTGAAGCACGAAACCCGGGACTCAGAGGAAAGTTGCACTAACTGGGGAACTGGTGTGGGAAGACAGAGAGAGGCATACACAGGTCGCACTCTGATTTACAGACAGCTAACCTGCTGTGAAATCCTGGACCAGTGGCAGCAGGATGTGGAGGGAAGGGGCGCTAGACCAAACCTGCTCTTTGGGTAGTGTCTGGGTGTTATTCTCTCTGCAGCTGAAGAGCGCCTGAGCCTCAGAATGGAATTCTGCAGTGGGTAAGACAGTGTCCAGCTCTGTCTTTAACCCGCTTCCACTCCTGTTGACTCCCAGGAAAACACTGCCATCTTCTAATGGGTTTTGCCAAATGGCAATGAGCCCCTGGGAGTTCAGCCAAGGCAGGGGGTGGGGGTCAGGATGAGAAGGAGTGGGGAAGATAGAGGAACCAGCTCCTGGAGGCATCCTAGTGGCTTTGGGGGGAGGTGGGTTCCCAATCTCCGAGTCTAAGCACGTCGGGGCTGGGAAGAGCCCTTGACATCATTTTGGCCAACCTCTACGTGTTGGGACATGAGCCCAAGATTCAGGCAGGAGAAGGGACTTGCCCAAGGTCGGTCATGGAGAGGGTTAGCCATGGATCTGGACTGCAATCCCAGGGTCTTGGGGATGGTTAAGGTGTGTAATTCTGGCTGGACACTGACACCTCACCAGCTTGGTGAAGGGCCTGGCTGGAGATGCCTTTTCTGACAGACATCTATTTGTGTTCTCTCTCTCTCTCTCTCTCTCTCTCTCTCTGTGTGTGTGTGTGTGTATACCTGTGTGCCATGTTCTCAGAGGATCTGGGTGTGCGGGTAGCCTCCCACAGTGTGATCTGTCCTGGCCTTGGAAAAGAAGTGGAGCCATTCCTGTGGGGTGACTGTTTCTCTGGGACACCGGGGAAGAAGCCTAACAGGACTGAATCTGGCTTTCAGCCCCTGCTCAGCTGCCCTCAGAGAATTACAGGCCCTGTCTGGTGCGGCCCAAACTCGTGGAGGTGGACACACACTCACACACCCACACCCACACCCACACGGACACATGCACCCCACCCCCCTCCCCAGCAGCACTCAGTCGCGGGTAGAGTGGCCCGTGTGTCGCGGAGTGCAGCGTTCCGGCATCTACGTGCCTCCCCACAGCCCAGCAGGTGTGGACACCCGGGTGCCTAAACCCAACGTCAGGGACACGGAGGAGTGGCACGCTGGGTTCACTCTAGGTGCCCAGCCCCAGGGCCTAGCCCGGCCACACCCCTCCTCCCGAGCCTCGGCTGGCTGCTCCTGTCCCTCTCACACACTTGAGTCCCCTGGGGTCCTCGTACAGCCCGGCAGGGCCAAGTTAGGGCTAGCCGGGCTGGAGATAGGTCGGAGTCAGGGGTCCCCCAGCAAAGCAGACACGCCGGTTGAGCCCCGGCCGCTGGGAGCGCGCGGATTCGGCGGCCCGCCCAGCTCCGCAGGGACCCCCCAACCGCGGGCGGCTCCCCAGCATTCCCAGGTCCCCGCCCCCGTCCCCTCCGGCGCGGCGGCGAGTGTAGTTACCGATGGTGGTGATGACGGTGATGGCGAAGTAGAAGGAGCCGGCGAAGCGCCACTGCACGCCGGCCTTGTGCGGCTTGAGGCGCAGCACGACGCGCTCCAGCTCCTCGTAGCCGCCCTCGCTGAGGTTGTAGCGCGCCCGCAGCTCCAGCTGCCGCAGCTCCAGCCGCTGCCGCTCGATCATCTCCGGCTCAGACTCCAGCGCGTCGAACACCGCGGCGCCCACCAGCAGGTAGGTGAAGGTGCACACGATGAGCGCCAACGTGCGCACATTCTGCCGCTTCATCG